TCGTACGACGCTGTCTGAGTTGGCCTTTAGACTGAAAACTTTATGGGTTTATGATGTACTATAATAATCTGCGACAGATTTATAGTATTTATTTGCTTTCCTTTAATACAGGAAGTAATTCTAGTATACTTTAAATTGTCAATTGGCTGTGAACAAATCTAGGTAAACCCTCAAACCTTCAGTTGAAACTTTGAATTGTCTATATTTAAAAGGGTCATTTAAGTAATATTAACTTCAATAAGACAAAGGTCAAAACAATTCAATTTTTGCTGATTTTCAAAATTTTTACTATTTGTATTGATTTAGAAATTATTTTGGTCTATTGTACTGTACTTTTAGATGAAATTAGCATAAAAACAACTAAATGAAAAAAAAATTAAAATTCAGTTCTTTTGATCAGTCACTCTCTTCCTTTGTTTGTTGTGTCATATAGCCTTTAAATGTGTAATGATAGCTCTAATAAAAGTTCAATTAAGTGTAATTTAATTATGAGGTTTAAATTTTAAAATTGGTCATCGGTAGTGAGTGAACTATAAGCTATTGCTTCCTCTGTTGTTAATGATGATCTAATTTAGTTTATACTTAGCCCTAAAAGCTGTCTAACAGCACCAAAGCATAGCATCAGAAATTATAATTCTATTTGATCTATCCATGTTTGTATTTTTATGGTTTGTGGTTTTCTAGCTTGGAGGCAACACCCAACCTGTTTGACTGGTGCAAGTTTCGCAACAAATTTAACAATCAAATTTTGATCATATTTTGATAATTACTTTGCTCACTAGCAAGGACATGTTGGATGAAAATTTTATTTCTCACTAATAGTAAGTTATCCTAATAAATATCCTTTTAACTAACTGCCCTTGCTTCCAAAATTTAGCAACTGAGATTATTATTATTATTATTATTATTATTATTATTATTATTATTATTATTATTATTATTATTATTATTAATTATTATTATTCATCCCTAGTGCCTCTAACTCTTTGTATACACAGCAAGTACCCAAATTATTTTACACTAAGGTGACCAAGTGATAATTTTTTGGGCCAAGCAATTATTATTCAAAGCAATCCCCACTGATTATGCCCTTGGAACGTGAGATCTATAGTACATCGAGCAAACTTGTTATCTGAAAATTGGCATGTTGAAGTTATCTGAAAGATATTTGGGCGAAACATACAACTTTTCAGCAAGGTTAGAATAGTTATCATCATTGAATGGGGTGTGAAAATTAACTTTTAAAATACTTTATCACAATGCTCTGTCATTGATACATTGGATATTAAGTATATTATAAGGTTACCCTCTGTGCCATGATCTTTCAAGATGGTATGATTGTTAGCTGGCCACCAGGTTTAAATGCCTTTCACCTGCTGTTAATGGGACATTCTAGAACAATGCCTGGGGGTTAAGGATCTACCTTCAAATGCTAAAAGGTGACATTTTAGCAGTTATCGTTGCTTGTTCTACAAATTTTGCAGAATACATTAAACTTGTGTTGTATGAGTTTAAAGACAGACTCCGCAGGAAAGACACTTTGTAAATGTTGTAGAACTGATTTTTCTAAGAAATAAAAAAATTGACTAAAAACTGGGGAACGCTGAATGAAATACATGTTTTTGAATATTTAAAAACTGGGGGAAAAGGTGTAAAAAAAAAAGGGTGGTTACACACCGCCCTTTTTCTCGCAGTTTTTAAATATTCAGAAATCAGTTCTACAATATATCTACAAACATTTTTTTCCCTCCAGAGTCTGACTATAATTTATTTTAATTTTATTTTATTTAATTCAGTAATATGATACTGTATAGCAAAAAAAAACACATGAAAAATAATGAATCTAAACAGAAAGCATCAAGTTCTTTGAATAATGTCTTAACATTTTACAACAAGTAGGCCTACATACCGTTAGTTGAAAGTATGAATACTTAAATTCTGATATTTACCTATTTTCAAGTGGAATTGTCCTAATTTAGAGGGACCTAATTAAGTTTTTAGATTATGAGTCAATCTTCTTTAATTGCATGTCTGTAATTATTGTCTTTACTATCATCATTGTATGTTTTGAATCCACAAAAATCAATATTGCCAATTCTGTTCGCTAGACTCTATATGAATAACATTGGTAAAAAAAATGAAATTAAAGTAATTTACATACAAATGAGTGAAATTTATGTAAATTATTTGCAGTATCATTTAGCTGCGTTTTATAGTAGTTACGTTTTAAAGGATTAAATTTAGATTGCCATGTTGGTGAATTATGTTAATGAATTTAAATTGTTCAATAACCAACATTACTGACTTCCTTCGTATAGAATGATATCTACAGTACCAATTATTATTGAACATCATCGTGTTTACATTAATTGATAAAAATTGTAATTTATACTAACTTGCAGTAATAAAAATACCAAGTTACTTGACCATACCCATTATGTTTTATGGAAGTCAGTAGTCCTAGATATCCACACTTAAGGGTTTGTTGTGTAGAGAACCATCTCTGTGCCTTAATTTTTTCATTTTTTTAATGGGATGAGCAATGAATTTTTTGCTTTAGAATAGATGGGGTTATCCTAATTGTCGTCGTCATCACTCATCATCTTCATCATTAGCTGTAAGAATTAAGATTGATTATGTCCCCCAAAATGACCTCTGATCTTATAAGCCAGTCTTACCTGTCTCAAAGATCGAAGTGGAATTGTCTTGAACTAAATAAGCCAAAAGTGAAAAAAAAAAAAATAGATGCCTATTAATACAGAGTTTAAGTAGTAGTATAATGGGTGACCCCTGTGACCTGGAAGTGATCATGAGAATGATCCTTGTACCAAAATCATGATGGGTGATACTTGCAAGATATTTAGCCCTTCCCTTCACACATCTGCTTTACATTCATAGGTTACCACAGGGCCAGTTAATAAACAGAGGTGGTTGGGGTCTGAAAGTTACAATCCAGACCTAGCAGGCTTCTAATATCATTATCAATTACCAGCTCAAAGCCCTATTGGTCCAGATTTATCAGAGTCTTCAGGGAGGCATATTAACTATACAAGCTATGCTGGAATTCATCTCTTGGACCATTCCATTCTCAAGTAGAGGATGTGATGTGCAGGAAATAGTATCACATACATTTGCATAAAGCATTTACTTCTCCGGATGCTACTTGTGAAATAGAAACTTTGTCATTTTCACAATGTATTTCAGTGAATCCGGCCTTCTGATTCAAGTTTAATATGAATCGTTCACCTTTGAATGGGAATTATTGCATGTTTCGTTGACTAGGTAAATATTTACCTCCTCTACAGTACCTGTCCGGAAGTGGTTCATTCTGAGCCTGGAATATTTGTGGCTAGTTCATGGTTCAATAGCGATTCAAGCTGATTGTAAAGTGAATTTAATATTGAATGTACTGTTGGAGACTGGAAGCCTTGTGGAAAGGTATACCTTCAACGCCGTTGTGGACTAGTATTTAGTAGTTTGTATCCCAGCTGACAGGATTAAATAATTTCTTGGCCCTAAGGATATAACAACTGGAAAAGACGGTAAGTGTGTGGTCCAATATTGACTGCATATTTATTTCGATACAAATGATGGATAATGTTAATAACAACAGTTTGCTGGATCGTGTCTTTATTAGTTTTATTAGAATTTTAGAAGATTTGATGTATTTCAATCAATGGTTAACTTATTTAATTTATTATAATATTACTATTATTTTATTATTTAAGTATAATTGTGGTATTATGTAATCTAACAATGGAGTTTTACTTGAAAAGTGCATTGTATCGTAGTCTTCTAATATCAAATTAGTGACGTCTGACATGTACAATGATTTAACTATCCTTCACCTGAGATTTTTTAGCCCTTACAAGGTCTGTCAAATTATAAACTTGACTGACTGCTGAAATTTCTAATTTCCCCAGGGAATAAGAAGCTGCTACTATGAGTTAAAATCCTCTGTCCTACATAGATTTTGACAGTTCAACCTAGTAAGCTATCATCACTTAGTGTTCCAAACTCAATGTGTGCCATTTTGCCTACACAGACAGAACTTTGAAAATATTTAAATTATTATTAATGTCATTTGGCCGATCACTTATCTATTTGTCCCAAGCGATCCAAAAGCACTTTAGAAAGAGCTTGAAGAAAATGTTAAATACAAACGTCTTATTTGATATCGTTCACATAATTTTAATTCCACATAATATCGTGTAACATCGAATGAATATGAGTTGCATTTGGTGTATTTAGGGTGTAATCTTTAAAGTGACTTGCAATGCTTTCCAAAGAAACAGTAGATTTTACAAATGTTTGCAATATTTAAGAATAAGGTGATGCTACAGACAGTTGGTAAAAAGATTAAGATATAGTAAAATACAGGTGACATCCACAATAATAATAGTAATAACGTGGTACAGTACATTAACAATAACCACTGCAATAATATAATGATTACTGGGGGTATGTTGTATTATTACCTCCATGGTAGCAACCAACAACAATGTAACAACTAAACTAATGTTCCAAAGAAAAGCAGCTCTGGTGTAAAAAGTACATTCAATACTTCCAAATTCATCCGAGATTGAGATACAACTAGGACTTGGTATTTCATCACACAAAATGTTCAACATAACCTGAAGAGGAGCTAGATTTGCAATACAGAAATTATGGAATAGGGGAAAACTGCTAAAAGGATCATAGCCAGTTTATTCTGACAGATTACATGGTTTGAAATGTAAAAAATGAAAGAGTACAGGCTTGTCAAAGGTATCCTTACTGAGACCCATGACCCAGTGATAAGAGCCCTCGACTTTAAAAGATGTTGGAAGAAGGCATCTCAGCATAAACATAATATCACTAGGCATGGTAGCATGGAGTCAACATCTATGGAAAAAAATGTGTAACTTGAGTTGATATCTAGTAGAAATACTGGTATCATAGAATCATTAATAGTTTGAGGTGATTGGGATTACCTCCTGTTGCCAAGTGGAGTGGATGACGTCCTGTTATCCAAGGAGGGACATACAGTTCACTTCTTTACCGAAATAAAACCATGTGTTGTATTTGTCTTGCTATACCTCCTAAATATTTAAACAGCAAACTGTCTACCTTCACTAGCCATTATAAGCTGTGAGTGTAAAATTACACAGTGTGCATATAGCTTGCGTAGACATGGGTGCGGCAGTCAATTTTGTATAGTAACTTTTTCCCACGTCTGAGTAAATTTAGCACGCCCAGGGAAGTAATTAAAACAATCCCCACCACTGCGTACCGAGTGGAATTGCCCAACAAAATGTTAATATCTACTTAATATTTAAGAGGTATTGTAAAAATATGAAACATGAATACGGTAAGATGGATAATGTGGAGAGTGTAGTCTAGCTATACCAGTGCCTCTACTGTACATAAAAAATAATTTCCATGTTTACAAAAATTAATAGCTATGTGTAGAAAGTGAGTATCTAGAATAAAACTTTATTCACAAAAAACATAAATCAACAATACATGAAGTTTCTCATTGTTGCCAGGGAAAAAAAACACGCTTAAAATTCTATTCACCGTAACAAAATAGAAGCTCATACAATATGTAAGAAATTAAGATACAGTTTGTGACTCCTCTAATTCCATGACCCCTCTTATTCATGACCGCTTTTTCAAAGTACCAAATATCAGTCTTAAAAAGTTAAACCTCTATTTAAAGACCAAACTTCAAGACCACCCCACATTCTCAAGTCTTGAATTGGAGGTCAAACTTTAATCATCATTCATAAATGATTACTAAGAAAATAAAAAATTAACAGAGTACGTTGAAAAGCGATACTTTGTTACAGACTAGGTTGACTTTATAACTGTAAATTTTTTCAATAAAATTTTTCCAAAAAGTAATTTAATAAGTTCCCTCTGTTCCTAAACAATAAAACTACTTTCATATTTCACTGAGCAAGTCTCTTGCAAATACTGGTAAATTTGAGACTTCAGGAGTGTCAAAAATAACACAGTTGGTATAATTTTTGGAGTATTTTTGTGGGCGTTTTTCACTGATAAAAAAAAAAGTTAAATGGTTTCAGTTTGTAAACAATAAGGTAATTTTATATTTCACTGAGCAAATCTCTAGCAAACACTCATAAAGTTGAGCTTTAAGGAGTATCAAAATACAGTTAGTATTTTTGTGGGTGTTTTTTCATGCTTATTATTTGTTAAGCTTGATTTTCTGACGTTGCATATATATTGTGGGAGGGTTTTTTTTTTTTTTTTATCAATGCTAGATCTATTGATATTATTTGTCTGTTTCATTTCAGGAAAGTTAGTAAAAGGAAATAGGGTTGAATAGGTGCATTGTGTTTCTTTTTTATGTTACAGCTAACCTGACTAAGAATATTTTTACTTTTGACAAATTTAAAAAATTGAATTCTTTGGTGGGCATTGAGTGTAGAGAAACGTCAGCAAAAACATGGTTGAGGGAATTTACGAGTAATGTAGGTGGTAACAGTGGGTAAACGTAATACTTGATAACAATATGTGTTTGTTAGTTAAATGAGGAGTTTAAAAAATGTATGTGAAATTTTCTCAGGCTCTTTTAAACCAGTAAATTTTATTTTCAAACATGATGCAGTATCTTGGGTCACCATGATAGTCTAAATATACAGGAAAGATATGTTGGAATACATTTGACTTACAAATTGTAATTAATGGAAAACACGACAATTCAGCATGTAAAATACTGTGGGATCCACTTAGAGGCAGAGTCAACTTAGGCAAGTTTAACTGTATTACATTTTATTTTATTTAACCTAAAATAAGGAGGGAAACAAAAGTCACAACACAATATATTAGAACATCAATATAGAAGGCAGAAAGAATTAAAAACTGTCTTTGGTTGACATCACCTGAAGTACTTTTAAATAATATGTAAATCAAGAACTCTGGAGGTTTAAAATGCACATACGCCCAATATTTTCCCCCAACCTGATGACGATTTTGAATTTTAACCTGGTTTTTTATGATGAGCTCATGAATAATATCCATATGTTTGAAAATGTGACATCTGCACTTTCTGCAGTTTTTTTTATCAAAATAATTTTGCAGACCAAGAAAGGGCCTTACATAAATTAATATATACTTAGATGCACAGTTCTCATAGAGAAAAGGTCTGGGAAATATCAATGATTCTGAGAATGTCAAACGTGTCCAAATGTGGAATCAAATTACCTGTTGGTTGGTTTCATTGGATATGCCGCTAATAAGGATATTACAATCTGATATGAAGATGGATGGTTGCCATTAGTATTTGAAATCATGTGACCAAAAAAAATGCTCATTAAATTTTGAATAATATATGGAATTTATAAGCTAAATATTGTTATGATAAATAAATTGTTTGATGGTAGTGGTTATACACTTTGGTTATTGCTAGTGTATAGGCAGTAATGCTTTTACGCTGATTGTGAGATGTTTTTGAAGAGGTTACTTAAACACACTAGAGATAGTGATGTATGGACAGCAGTCATAAGGCAAAAATGGCATTATGATTATAGGCCTTCTTTGAACGATTGATAATGGTTATATTAAAGTATTGGGCATGATTAGATATTAGGACAGTGACCTGTTAAACTTCATTGGTCAATAAGTATTGACATTTGGATCCCAATGGGAACAATGCGTCCAGGATACCTGTAATTAACATCTTAATGGTACTAGCAGGCTATAGTAACCTTAAACAAAGCTGAATGCTGCCATCATGTCCACAAATAGTCCTGAAATTGCAATCAAGTCCAGGCCAATAACCAAATGGGGATTCTGCCATTTTGCCACACCCCTTTTTGAGCAAACTTCCCTTTGATTGACTGAAACCACGATTCCATTCCTTACAACAATGTCAAAATTAATGATGAATACTGTACATTCTTCATTTATATGAAAAGTAATTAGTTATGAGAGGAAAAAACCAGGTGTGTCTAACACGATTTGAACCTAGGGCCTTGGGATTAAGAGAGAGAATCTTGACCAGTAAGATTGTAAGACAGACACACTATGAAATGATCTTGTAACCAGCAGTTGAATAAGAATGAGGTTTAAAAAAAGAGATATAGTTACCGATAATAATCACTTACAGTAAGGAGCGGTGATAATTATGTGAATTATTTAACAGGATATAGATGCGAGAAGTATGCACTTGAGAGGATATGGACAGGAGGGCAGTAATTAGCTTAATTCCAAGTGACCATTATCACGGCCTACATGATCAGTGATAAGCATCTTCTTAAGTGGACATTGGACCTGTATGGATTTGTAGCCATACACCTTATTACCGGTCTACATAGACGCGGCCATTCTGGTGATAAATACTGGTCATTTACCAAAGTTAATTAAAACTTTATGTTCAGTTAATTACCACTGGAATATCTCAAGTTAAATATCTGAGATACCTTTAAGCTTGGATTAATCATTTTGTTCTTAATAACAGGAATAACTGTCAAAATTTATTAAGTAGGGTGAATTTTTTTTTTATTTTACTCACAAAGACAACACGGCAGAAAATTTG